TTATTTCCGGATGATTGTAATTTAGTATATGGTTACTGTAAGCCTCCCAAATTATTTTCTCCTTGCCTGTTTGCTCCACCAGATTTACGATACAAATTGGACCGTATAATCGAAGCTCCTCGGCAAAGTGTTTCTCAAAAGCAATCTGTGTCTCTGTCTCGTCTAAAGTATTCAGAATATTATAGTTTAAGGTTCATAGGAATATTTTCTCGAATGATTACCTTTGTCTATACGTGGTGGAGGCTTGTACTTGTAGCCAGGTTGAGACCAGTACACAGGTACACTGCCTCTTACTTGGACAAAAGATACTTGGTGATCACGGTACCAAACTAATTGTTCTGTTTCCACATAGTTTGCGCATTTCCCATCGTCATCGACACCACGTCGTTTGTATCTTAAAGAATAGGTTTGCCGGTAGAAATTTAGAATTGAAATGATAGAAAATCAGCGAATGTATAATTACCTTGTTCCGGCGCGGAACCTACTTCTTCTAGATATAATTGCTAAATTAAAGGTTTCATATTGAGGCTGATCATCAAGTCCTACTTCTACTTTACATTTTTCTATTTGAACATATCCTTGAATAACTGGTAATATCCAACTATTTGCGTCATCTGTCTACAAAGATGATATATTATTATAATAAGATGTATCTTGGTGCAATGATGTGATTACACTTAGAAAAACCTGAACTTTTAAATTAATTATATCCTGTAACATGTACTTATTCCAAAAGAACCTATCATCCACTCTCTGCCAAAGTGGCCTATTTTGTGCCTGCTGATTCTTTTCTGTCTCTGTGATGCAAAGCCTCTGCAGGCTATTGGTGATGTCACCAGTTTGACAGAAGTAAAATGAGTCAGTTTCAGTAAAGATTTTACTCAATTCCTCCAGAATTCTCTTCTCAAATCTCTCCTTGTCTTTCACAATACTTCTTTTACCTACTGTGGATTTCACCTGGAAATATTCTTAATGATATTACATTTTTTTTTTAAATAACTAAATTTCTTATGTTCAATTGCAACTAAAAAAAAAAAAAGAATTACCTGAGATGTTGCAAGTGCAGCTGCTTGTTGTGTGGTATTTTTTATGGTATTTGTAGCACTTTTAATAGTGCCCCATGTTTTGGCAAAGGCTGCTTTTTGTGGTACATCGAACAGGCCACCTTCACTTTTTTTCTTTGGCAAATTCTGATGCTTCTTGCATGGCAAAAGTCCAATATCAGTATTTTCATTGCCAAGATGCAAAAATGTGATTGATTTGACCTTATATATAACATGACCTCCATATAACTCTCCCACTGGTGAAACCTCTTTGATTAACATCAAACGAGGTTCCAGTACACCAGGCTGCTCTATTTTCCCAATAATTCCATAAATTATTCCAAGACATTCTAAGTCCTTTGGGGAGGCCCATTCCCAATCTGCGAAGTAATTTGCAATCAATAATACTCTACAAAAGCCTCCATGTTAAAAATCAAATATTAAATCACACAGATCTCAGCTTTCCAGCTAATTGCATTAGTTAGATCACAGCTTTTACATATTTACATAATTCACGAACCGTTGCTGGTGAAAAATCACACGAATACAATTACCTTTTAAAGTATTCCCACGCGTAATATTATTTCAATAACGTTCATTCAAATACAATCGAATATGAAATTCTTATTTGTACGAATTAATCGTTACGCGAAATAATTGATGAGAGGAACATTACGTAAAATCGTTTCGGTTACGTTTCACGGAAAGTCGATGCAGTTATAAATAAGAACAATGAACCGAGAAAACACAACGTGTATCGTACTTGACACAAATGTATATACACTTCTGTCAAACGACGAGCGTATACCCACCCGATTTAGCGGAAAACTCTCCTGTGTATTTGTCCCACCATAGGCTGCGCCTTTCTTTCACGAAAATAAAATGCGTGTCGGTGCGCAACAGTTCCATGCTTCCGTCTTTTCCACTGACGGACGATTTCTACGCAGCATGTGGAACGACAGCTCTTCGAACGAAAGTCCGCCTATGACGGACACTTCGCCATCTTGCTCGTACATGAGACTAACAATGAGACCGTTCACCAACTACATATACATTCGATCAGAAAGTAGATGGCGATAGGGAATTAATTATATATAGCTTTTCGTTATCGTTAATACTTTAAGCGATAAGAATTGATGACATTCGGTGCAAATTTATACGATTTTAATGCGTTGTTGTTATTTAGAAATAACGCGAATTTGAATTGTTTCCAATGCGACTTGTAGAAATTTGTTTCTCCTTTTTTTTTTTAAAGGATTTTCGAAGGATTTTACGCGGAGGGATGAGAGTGGAGAAAAGGATGTAGAAATAGAAAGGAACGAAATGAATGTTTAGATTATTTGAAATACACAAGATTTATTTAGGTAATCTGTGATTACATATTTTGTATATGTTTCACAATAACTGATAAGTACATCATAAATACAAAGAAGCGTGTGAAAATATGCGAATAACGATTAGTTAACGTTATCATTAATATCGTCGTACGTCGTTCATGGAAGAATATTTAAAAGATGACCTCTTTATACACGTGTTCTTCGTTCGAAAGAATTTTTTAATCGAACTCGCCTACTCGAATTTCGCGGTTGTCGATGGTGTACTCGAAACGTGTCATTTTGAGTAATGAAAAAGATTCATAAAATTTAACAAGCATTTAACATCTTTTGAAAAAAAAATGTCTACTCGCTCCTTCCCTCGTTTCCTTCCTTATTCCTCTTCTCCTCTTTGGTTTTGTCTATTATGTATTCCTGCCATTTCCTATGATTGAGTGTCTGAAAGTCATCCACTTTGGCTATTAATTTTAAATACTGAGACAATTTTAACAACTCCTTGTCTTTCCTTCTGGTGATGTGTGCATGTTTGAATGGTTTGATTTTTAATCCTGATTGTGGATTCATGATAAAGTTTCTCCTAATATCGTCAAACATTATTGTGTTCTTTGCAGAGAACTGCCTGTATTTCCCCCATATGATAGCAAGTGGTTTTGCTGTGATAGTACCATACTTTGATGTGATAACATTAATCATAGCATTTGAGTCAAGGTGACATGCTATTTTGTAATAAGAGTTATTTGAGACTCCTAGCACTTTCATCTTTTCATTGATCCATTTCATACTAGTCGCTGACCAAATCACTATGTCATAATTTAGATAAGCCAGGGTTAAAAATTGGTGGAGGAAGGGACGCATCAATTCCACACCACTTTCCGCTGTTGATTTGTGATCGAAAATGGTGTAGTCTATATCGAGCACCAGTAGTTTCTTTCCTTCTCTGAAGGGATTTAATTCTACAAACCTGTAGTAGTCGATTCTACATTGGATTTGAAACAAACACAGCTTAACATTCTCTATCTCTATCTCTTCTTCTTCAGTCTTAAAGTCATTAATTACATCGGGCAAGTCTTTTGGTGCATGACATGCCTCGGCGATGTCCTCTTCGCGAGATCCCATCAGCATTAACTTGAATCCAGGCTTCATACCCAAGTTCCTTAGGATCTCCTCATCTTGAGATGCTTTGTCTGGTGAAAAGAAAGATTCTATAGACACTTGACAGGGTTTTAATTAATGCTGTCAAATGTGTCAGATCTAACATGTTGAAAGGACAGTTCAAAATCAATCGAGAGAGATCATTTGAACGGACTTTATGTCAAAATCGAACGGTCAGTCAAACAATGCGCGTGACTCTATATGGAAAAAAAAACAAAGGGAGAGAGAGGGTCGTGAAAACAGTTCAAAACATAACCTTTGGTTCGGAGGTTCAGCACTTTTTGACGTCCCGGAAGGATGCCAGTCTCCTGGTGTATCCGTTCTTTCAGACCGCGAACGGTATCGCCCAGGTTCACGTCCGGAATCTCGAATTTTTTCCTGCCCCATACTATGATGATCTTCCCTACATTCTCCATTTTTTTTCGAAAATAATGACGCGACACCAGACGATGTGTACTATGAAGCAGCCGAACGTACACACTCCCCCATTAGGTGTGTACATACACTAGGAACGTCGTAGAGTTTAGTGCAGACATTGTACCTTTGTGTCGATACTGTAACGCGAAGTTTATCCTTCATATAGGTGGCGTCTCGCTGTCTGGATCCGATCAAGACGGTGCTGCCATCGCAATGTTGATAAACATTCATTCATTTTTTTTTCTCTTATCATTTTATAGTTACGCCTACTGTGAAAAGACTTTCATTCACATTTCTGAATGAAAAGTGTAATAATTATCGTACGGAATAATTCGTTTAGATACGCTATTACGAGTATTGATCATTTTTACAGTGCTCAGTCGATCACTCGTAAATTAAACCAATACTTAATTCGAAGAAAAATCTTTAACCTTC